GAGCGGCCCCTGCCGGCTGGGTCGGGCTGAGGAGCGACAGGCGCGCGCTTTTCCCGGACTCCGCTCGCCCCTGGTGGTGCCCGGCGGGCCGGCCGTCTCCCGGACCTTTTTGGAATTCTAAAGCATCTGTTTCTTGGAAATTTGTGTTTTAACTTAGTCTGTTTTACACTTTGCTGTTCTTATTAGCACAATTACTTGGGTATGAAAATGCTTGATCCTGAACTTGTAAGTTGTCATTGTTAAAGACCAGCTGGTCTCCCTGAAAGGAGGACGTGTGCGAGCATGCGCTGCAGACTTGAGCAGTGCTGTAGAGCAGGTAATGTGAGGTGAGCAGAGGCCGCAGGCTCGATCGCACGTCATGAACTTGGAGCTGAGCGTTCTTCGTCGCATCTCAAACGCGGGGTTTCTCTCGCACTGGTTTTTATGTAGTTGTGGTTTTCCATTTTGCCTTCATTCAGCAAACAGATGAATCCCTTCATTGAGGATATTCTGAACAGAATACAAGATCTGTTAGAGCTGTCTCCTCCCGTGAGTACCTGCCCTTCCCGGAGGCCCGGCGCGGGGCTGCGCGTGGCGTGAGGTCTCCTCCGCACTTTCTCAGGGTTTGGCAGACTCAGGCTCGCCGGGGTGTTGACTTAGAACTTCGAGCATCGCACGCCGGCACCTGCTGCGTACATCAGTGGCCCTTTGCTAGTGTTAATGACTTCGGGGCCTTTCTTGGAGGCGGGGAGGCCCTGTGTCCCAGAACTCTGCGGCTGTCGTCGGCGCAGCGGGTGCTGGGGCGGGGGGCCGCGGGCGCCCGCACGGAGGCGGGACTCGGCCCTCCTCGCGCGCTTGCTGTTGGGCCGACGCTTCCTTGGTAACTTCAGTCCTGTAAAAGACCTGAGCGGTGGGTGAGCTGAACCTTGTGGTGTCCAGAAAGCACCACGTTTGGGGTGTCGGCCTCAGTTGAGATGCTTTGCGAGTCCGTCGTGACTGACACGCTTTTGTGTAAAGCAAGTACTGCCGGCGGCTTTGTTTAGCTCTGAGCGGCTTTCCTACGAGAGCTGCCTCTTGGAATGTGCTAAACAGAAGATAACACTTCTGTTATTTGCAGTAGATCAGCATGCGGGAGGCAAAGATTTCATTTACCCGTAAATCATACGGTCCATTTTTCCTGTCTGTGTACTACAAAAACTCTCTGAGCCCCGAGGCCTCGCCCAGTGAGTGCCAGCAGTCTCCACAGTTCCCCCTGCCCCCCCCGCGCCCAGGCGCCCGTGGGGCTCTGCTCGCCTGTAACCCTTCGGTGTGCAGTGCTCGCCCCCCTGCCGTCCACCAACCTTGGCTGCTTCACAGGGTCATAAGCGCCACCATTTCAGTTGCTTTTCCGTGCCCATAGCACATCAGGGCGCCTCAGTGTGGGGCCCAGCGGGGCCCCTGCCGTCCCTCCTCTTGGTTTCTCCGAGCGCACAAATGTGGACAGTCACGCAGCTCCTCGGTGCAAGCTGACCGGGGTGCGGGATGTCCAGCTGTGGCTGACAGGCCTGTGGCTGCGTCTGCGTTCCAGGAGAATGGCTACCAGTCTCTGCTGAGCAGCGATGACCAGCTCTTCATCTACGAGACGGCGGGGGTGCTGATCGTCAACAGTGAGTACCCCGCGGAGCGGAAGCAAGCCCTGATGAGAAACCTGCTGACTCCGCTCATGGACAAGTTCAAGATTCTGTTGGAAAAGTTGATGCTGGCACCAGACGAAGAGAGGCAGGCGTCACTGGCCGACTGCCTCAGCCACGCTGTTGGGTTCGCCAGGTGAGCCGCGTGCTCTAGGGTGCGGGCGGCCCACAGCCCACGTGCTGTCAGGGCGGGCGGGCGGCCTCCCGGTGTCGGGGCCGCCTGTCCGAGCTCGGGGGGCCACTGCCCGAGACGTGTCGGCAGGGGAAAGGGGCGGCTCTTCCGACAGTCTCCGTCTCCGGAGCTGTAGCGCCTCCGGCCGGCCGCCGGCCGCGGCGTGTGCAGGGCGTCAGCGAGTGTTCCTGGCCGGAGACGTGCG